CTTGAGGATTCTATGGCATTTAATGGGAAGGGACCAAAAGTACTAAATGCCCTGTGATGTGGACAGTACTCACACTGTGAAGATTTGTCCCACTCAAAATACCAGTAGCACCTGCACTGTCATCAGCAACTACTGCAACCCTTCCATAACCCGGTTTAAAGACTGCACTCTTCTATCACCACTTATCTTTCCAGCTCACTCTTTTTATCTAGTACTCCAACTCCAGTAATTCTTTGATACTCACAACCTGTTGATCCTACCCCTTCCTCATGTCCTTATTTCCCTCCAAACATATTTTGGATTCCATGGTCCATTGTTATAATTGCTCCCTTCCTTACACACACCCCCAACTCCCTTGCCTTTTTTTTTTTTTTTTTGGTGAGGAAGATTGGCCCTGAGCTAACATCTGCCAATCCTCCTCTTTTTGCTGAGGAAGACTGGCCCTGGGCTAACATCGGTACCCATCTTCCTCCACTTTATATGGGATGCCGCCACAGCATGGCTTGCCAAGCAGTGCGTCGGTGCGCGCCCGGGATCCGAACCGGGGAACCCCCGGCCGCCGCAGCGGAGCACGCGCACTTAACTGCTTGCGCCACCGGGACGGCCCCCCAACTCCCTTGCTTTTAACCTCCTTTACTCTCTGGGAAAACCCCAATTCTAGTTAAATTCATTCTCTGCCTCTCTGTGACTGCAGAATTGAATATGCCTGGAGAAAAACAGAGAACCATCCCAACTGTTCTCACTTTAAATTCATGACCACTAACCTCAAGTGGGCCCTTACTGCTGCCTGGCAATTCAACTTCATTTCCCAAGTCCATTCACTCTTCTATTCTTCTAAGTGACTATTTTATCCCTTTTCCTCTCTCTTGAAACTTCCAACACTTCTTCCTGTTCTCATTCTCAAATGTTGACCTTGCTTCCTAAGAAAACAGAAGCATCAGATGAGAACTTTTACAAGCTCTCACCCCAAGTACCCACTTACCTGTATCTATGCTGAAACACTTTGCCTTCCCTCCCACTCCAATGGATTAACTAAGGTAACCCCTCCAGATGTGCTCTAGATCTTATGTCTCCTTGCCTTCTGAAGGGCACTGCTTTGGCAATTCTTTCTTACATTATCATTGTGTGATCATTCCTCATTTGGATCATTCTTACCAGCATATGTGCTATAAATTTTCCCATCAAGAAAAAAAGCCCCTCTTGACCTTCTATCCTGGACCATGACTATTAAGTACTTGAAAAAAAGTTTAAGATTCAGCTACTAGCCCTACAGGATATCAGGACCCATATTAAAGCTATTATAATTAAGAAAGTATGGTACTAACCTACAGAACAGAATCGAGAACCCATATGACAGATGACACTGCAGATCAGAGAAGAAAGGAGGAGCTATTTAATAAATGGTGCTGGTTCAAATTGTTATGCTATGGGGAAAAAGGCAACGGGATCCTACCTCATACCATACACCAAAATTAATTCCAGATGGATTAAACACTAAAATGTTAAAAACAAAACTTTACAATTTCAAAAGGAAATATACGAGAATATCTTTCTGATCTTGAGATAGGAAAAGATTTCTTAAACAAGACAGAAAAATGCTAACAATAAAAAGAAAAGTTTGATACATTTGACTATAATAAAATTAAGAAAGTCTTTTCACCAAAAGGTATCATAAAGAAATTGAATAGATAAGCCACAAACTTGGAGAAGATATCTGCAATGCATGTGACCACACATCTTAGAATCCAGACTATGTAAAGGATAAAGGAGTCCTACAAATCAATAAAGAAGAAAAAACCAATAGGAAAAAAGCCACAAACTTGGAGAAGATATCTGCAATGCATGTGACCACCCGTCTTAGAATCCAGACTATGTAAAGGAGTCCTACAAATCAATAAGGAAGAAAAAACCAATAGGAAAATGGGCATAAAACCAAAATGAAGCACTGCACAACATGGGTGGTAAATAAACATATGAAAAGAAGTTCAACCTCATTATTAATCTAAGTATTGCAAATTAAGACTATAATGTACACTCACAATAGGCAAAAATTTTTAAGTGTGACAATGCCAAGTTAGTCACAGAAAGCTTGTACACTGATCTTGGGAGTGTAAATTGGTCCAACTACTTAGGAAAATAATTTGGCATTATCTTGTAAAGTTAAAAACCATACTCATGACTCAGCATGCCTAGTTCTAGTTTACATACCTAAAGAAACTTGTGCATATGTGCACTAGGAGACAAATATGAGACTGTTCACAGCAACACAGTTCATAATTGCAAAAAGCTGGAAACAACCAAAATGTCCACCAATAGGAGGCTGGGTAAATAAATTGTGGTATACTCATAAAACTGAGTATTACACAGCAGTGAAAAAAACCTACTCTACACGTAACCACATGAAGGAATCTTGGAAGTGAAGTGAGTAAATGGCACCATTTTTAAAAAAGCTCAAAACCCAGCAAAATTAAACACTATATTATTTAACTGTATACTTATATGTTACGTATGGGCTAGAATTTTGAAAATGAAAGGAAATAATAAAGACAACACTAGTGGCCATCTCTGGGTAGGAAGAAGATGGGACGGGGAAGAACGTGTAAATAGATAAAAGCTATTGTTATGTTTTGGTTTTTGGGTTGAGTGGTAGGGTCACTGGATTAATTAGAATACTCTGTTTTGCTGTGGCAGCGACCCACATACAAAGTAGAGGAAGACTGGCACAGATGTTAGCTCAGGGCTAATCTTCCTCAAGCAAAAAAAAAAAAAAAATAAAGGGGAAGACTGGCAACAGATGCTAGCTCAGGGTGAATCTTCCTCAGCAAAAAAAAAAGAAAGAAAAAAGAATACTATATTTATTACTTTATATTATATATATATTCTCTTGTATATAACAAATATATTATTAAAAACAGGTTAAAAATAAAAGGATCTCAGGCTCTTGCTTCACCTTCAGGGTCTTACTAGCTGTGTGACCCTGGGCCAGTCTTTTCAGTCTCAGTTTCCCTAGCTACGAAATGGAGATAATACCTGACCTACCTCCTGGGATTTGTGTGGGGATGAAAAGAGATGATGCGTGCATAGCATTTAGCAGAGTGTGTGACAGAGTAAAAATGTGAGCCACTACTACTCTGACTCTGCTGCTGTTGCTACTTCTGGTAGCAACTATTTTCTGAGGTGCTTTCAAGATATTCAAGTAGAAATGGTTTCATTAACAGTTAGGAAAATGAATCTACAATGCAGAGATACAGGGTGAGAAGTCATCAGTAATAAATAACAGTTAAAACCATGTGTGTGGATAAGATGGACACAGGGTAAGCTTTCAGAATAGAAGTGCACCAAGACAGATTGAAGAAAGGAGCTCTAGAAAGAGACTGAGAAGGAACTGAGAGAAACAGAAGAGACTGGTGACCTGGAGGCAAAGTTAGCAGAAGAAAGTGGCTAATGGTATTAAATGCTGCAGAGTTAAAATAAAGATTAAAGGAGACACTGGATTTGGCAATGAGAGGATCACTAGGGACCTTTATAAGAGCAATTTCAATGAAATGGTCAAGGATGACACAAGAGTGCAGTGGGTTAAGGCATGAGTAGAAGGTGAAGAAATGGACACTGGGAGAAAAGAGAATTCTTTTAGTTTAGAGATGAAGAGAAAGTTGGAAAGAATAGAATATATGGGGGAAAGGAGGTATCTTTAAGGTTAAGGGATACCTGATACTGTTTACAGGCATTGGGGAAGGAGCCAGTGGAAAAGAAGATTAAGGTATAGGAGAGAAAGGGGACAACTGACTGGGTGTGGCCTTGGAGGAAGTAGGAGGAGATGATCTTCTGGACCCCAGCAATAGAAAGGTGGAGATTAATGCTTCTCAAACTTTAACGTGCATATGAATGACCTGGGGGTTTAGTTAAAATATAGATTCTGTTTCAGTAAGTCTGGGGTTGGGCCTAAAAATCTACATTTCTAACAAGCTCCCAGGTGATGCTGATGCTACTTGTCCACAGACTACACTCTGGGTATTAAGGGTGTAGACTATCTCTTCTTCTGTCACAGGAAGTGAAGTGCAGCTAGAAATGAGTTTGGCAGCAACGGGGAGAGAAGTCGCGGGAGTTTTTGCTATATGCATATTGAAGCTACCTGGGATGAAGGTACCAGGTGGGATAAAAAGAAATCAAATGAGTCAGGTACTCAAGCCTTCCGTGACTGTTGGCAGGACTGTATCCCTGGGAGGGCTGCAGGCAAAGGTAATGACAGAGGACTAATTTACTGGAAAGAGGTCAAGAGAAGGAAGACAGGCAAAGGAGAGTAAAGCTGAGCTGGGTGAGAGGAATAAGGAAACAATTAGTATCGTAATAACTTGTGAGTAATTATGGATAACTGGATGAAGGAGGAGAGAGCTGAGAGGTAAATAGTACCGATAAGAACAGATAAGAACTCAGCTGAAACCAGAATTTTACAGAAGAGTAATAATAATATATTTTACAGGTTATTATTTTTTTGTGTGTGTGAGGAAGATCAGCCCTGAGCTAACATCTGCCAATCCTCCTCTTTTTTTTTGCCGAGAAAGACTGGCCCTGGGCTAACATCCGTGCCCATCTTCCTCTACTTTATATGGGACGCCGCCACAGCATGGCTTGCCAAGCAGTGCGTCGGTGCGTGCCCGGGATCTGAACCGGTGAACCCCGGGGCCGCCGCAGTGGAGCGCGCGCACTCAACCACTTGTGCCACTGGGCAGGCCCCTGAAGTTTGTTTAAAAAAGAATAAACCTGTTCATAGAGTTCCAAACTGATAGGCAGGTGTAATTCTCACCTGGCTATCTTTTATTCTCAGACTCTAAGCATCTAATCACTTATTCAGGAGCTGAGAGTGGGTATACACATCAGGTTGAGAATATTTCTCCATTTACTAAAACAACATTTACTAATGCTAAGATATGGATCCTGATTCTGAAGCAAAATGTCTTCTAGTTAATAGACGATAAGAGAAATTACACACATATCCTTACCCCTTCACTGGTTTTCTGCAAGTCTGAAGTTGTGTTTCTTGTGTCATTGCCGGCATCTCCACCTTCAGAGCTGCTTTTGTTTTCCTCTTCTTTGCAGTCCTTGTCATCTTCATCTCCTGGAGATTTCCGCGACTGTTTAGAGGATTTCTAAATGTTTGGACAAGTTAAAAATTACAGTCAAAAGTAGAAATCCAAATGTACAAGTGTAAGTGAGAAATACAGAAGCAGCTGACCTACAACCAGTCTTTGTGGCTTGTTACAGGATATACTGATATAATATGCAGTGTGCCAAGTCTGAGCTGGGTGACCTTGGACAAGTCATTTCACCTCACTGGGCCTCAGTCTAACCAGCTGGAAAGGAAGTAGAGGTGGACCAGATGACCCTTTAGTTCTTTCCAGCAGTGTGTTGTTAAAAGCAAAAAATAAAGATTCTTGTACCCAAAACGCTGTCAATATGAATAAATATAGCTGGATGGACCTTGGGAAGGCTACAGAGCTAGTAGGCATCCTAAAGGTTATCTCGTCTTTCCCCAACATTTTACAGTAGAAATTGCGGTCCAGAGAAGTGAGGTGAACTATCCAAGATAATATATCTATACTCATGTTGGGACACCTGTTGAAGCTGTTTGGTTAATGGTATATATGGAATGATCTTGACAAAACTTTTATACCGCTATGTGATATAAACTAACTTGAATCTTTTACGCTATGGATCGTTATTTAAGAACCCAAGGCCATATGGTGAACTAGCCCTTTTTTCTTATCATCTTGCATTTTAAATCACGATAAACTCTATAGGAAGATGAAAATACAAGTATAGTTCACAGCCAGAGTTGCTTTGCAGAACAGCATTAAAATTATCAAAAGTTGTCCCCACTGTGCACCTTTAAGAAAGTAAAATGTAGCATTTCACTAGTATTTCCTTTTTGAGGAATTTTAAGAATCTTTAAGCACATGGCAAATAACAGCCAAGGCAAAACTGATTTAGCCAAGTCACTTCTGGTCTTCCAGAAATGAATTAGCAAACTGGAGCTTCTTCAGACAATCGATATTTTAAAACGCAACTTCCAAAGAGAAAATATCTTCTAGCTATGTGATAGAATATTGAATTACATTGCTTGTATTTTACTTAACTAAAATTACCAACCAAGCCCAAAATGTCAGTTTAAAATGAGGTCATTTTTACCTTTTACATGAAGGGAAAGAAGGGATTTAAATCCAAATGTGGAGTATCTAAAGTTAAGATCAAGTATGACAATATAAAAAGTGAAACACTTTTTATTCTCCTAGTAAATACAGTAATTATTGAAATGTAGTAACTGCTTTATACAGTAATTCTCAAATAATAGTCTTTGACTTGGAGTTCTTATAGATAATAATGCACAACTCCCTAAAATTTATGAAGCTTACAAAAGACACTTATGAGTAACCATACAAGTGAGTTTATAAATATTATAATTTGGTGTACATGGACTAGAATTAGGGCATTACTAGAGTTTTGTTAAAGAGTCACATTCAGTATTCTACTAAGAAATCTGGCTGCCTAGCTATATTTGGTAACCTAGCAAAAAGCTCTTACTGTGCATATTCAGATCATCGCCAATTCCTGTAATTTTGGGGAAGGACCCTTCATCTGTTTCACCAATGTGGTCTTGAATTGGCTGTGTCCAATTGCTGCCATCTTTGTTTTTTAACTCAGATTACTAGTGGTTTAGCATCATCATCAGTGTAGTTTGTTGATTAGCCCTACTTTATACAGTAAATAATTTTCATGCAAAATATTTTTGACCTATAATTTTTCAGTATCTGTTATGGCTCACATATGAATCATCCATACACTTACTGCTAAAAAGATATATACAAAATCTCTCTCAAATATGCTTGTACTATGGCTTTTCATTATGATTACTGAACTTTTTTTTCACAGCAAAATGGAATTAGGTGAGATAGAGGGGATGTAGGACCTTTCCCTCTACCTAACTGGGTAGGTTGACTGCAGTCAAAAAAGTTTGTGAACCATTGGTTTTTAGTGGCAAAGAAGATTATTCGACTTCAAGAGATAGATGTAAAAAAGATCACCACAATCAACAAAAAGGACACATCTGGGAAGAAAGAGAAAAAGGTTATGCCAGGTAAGTGCTTCTCTTAAGATGGTTCCCAGATCAGCAGCATCAGTCTCATCTGGAAACTGAATTTTCAGACCCCACCCTAGACCTACTGAAATAGAAATTTGGGGCGGGGGGTGGTGAGGCGCAGCAATATGTGTTTTAACAAGCCCTCCAGGTAATCCTGAGCATGTGAAAGTTTGAGAACCACTGTTTTTTTTTTTTTTTTTTGTGAGGAAGATCAGCCCTGAGCTAACATCCATGCCAATCCTCCTCTTTTTGCTGAGGAGGACCAGCCCTGAGCTAACATCTATTGCCAATCCTCCTCCTTTTTCTTTCTTTCCTTTTTCTCCCCAAAGCCTCAGTAGATAGTTGTATGTCATAGTTGCACATCCTTCTAGTTGCTGTATGTGGGACGCTGCCTCAGCATGGCCGGACAAGCAGTGCGTCGGTGCGTGCCTGGGATCCGAACCCCAGTTGCCAGTAGTGGAGCGCGTGCACTTAACCACTAAGCCACGGGGCTGGCCCTGAGAACCGCTGTTTTAACAGGTTACTCTGTTGATATTAAAAACAAAAAATCATAGTTCTTAAGTGATCATGAAAGTTGTGATCTTGAAAGAAAGCGAAGGACATGATCCTTTAAGCGAAGGACATGATCCTTTAATTTAAAATAGATAAGCCTTGGGGCCGGCCCAGTGGCGCAAGTGGTTAAGCGCGCACGCTCTGCTGTGGTGGCCTGGGGGTCACTGGTTCGGATCTCGGGAGTGCACTGATGCACTGCTTGTCAAGCCATGCTGTGGCGGCGTCCCATATAAAGTGGAGGAAGATGGGCATGCATGTTAGCCCAGGGCCAGTCTTCCTCAGCAAAAAGAGGAGGATTGGCAGATGTTAGCTCAGGGCCGATCTTCCTCACAGGAAAAAAAAAAAATAGATAAGCCTTAGTAAGTAAGTAAAGTTTGTTTTTACCCCTTCACTGCTTTAAATTGTAAATCCACCCCAGGTATAAGGCCTATTACTTCTGGTCTTCATACCAAGCAATGAAATAATGACATTTAAAAGCCACATATCCACACTACTAAATACCTTGGCTATCTTAGGTAGCTTAGATAATTTGCGGTGGTACAACACATTACACAGAAGCTCAGCAGGCAATTGTAAATTAAATAAAATCAATTAAATTGGGTGTTTGAGTGAAGTCCAAAATGCTAAAAGAAATTCAGCTTAAAAATGACTGCAATGGAAGATACAGTCTGATGGGGAAAATTCTAATTATTTTGTTGTTATTTGCAAACTTTATTCCCACCCAAGACAAATACTGTTTTTCACTAAGTGCACAGGAAGTAATATGTATTCATACAATTTTAACTAGGTGGATTCAGTTAGGTGGGTTTTTTAGACTGTAAAATAAAATGTTGATAGCCTGATAAACTCTTTATACTTGTTTTTAAAGAGTTTCCTAAATATATCCAGCCACTAAATACCAGAATCTAAATGGAGGTAATTTATCCAAGTATTCAATTGTGTGACAGACCAATCATAGTGAAACAAATCTTTGGTCTTCAAAGATCATTTATGTTGCTTTCAGTTTCTAAAAGGTGAACAATTTTCACAATCTCATAGTTTTTTCAATTGTATTTCTGAATTCCTGTATGAAAAACCTAATTTGTAAATCTAGGATCATGTCACTCTTTTGTTTAAAACCTTCAATAAATTATTGCTAAATTTGGAATAAAATCCAAACTTTTAAACTAAATAATTTAGCCTTTGCCTGACTCTTCCTCTTCATCATGATTCTCCAACCACACCTGCCTTCTTTCAATTCAGGACATGCCAAACCCCTCCCTGCCTCAGAGCTCTGCTGCTCTGCCACACATGGCTCCTCCTCCCACACTTGCCTTTTGGGTCTCAGCATAAACTTTGCCTTTTCAGAAAGGTCTGGTCACTCTATCTAAAGTAGGTACCCTTAGTCTGTCATTCTCTGCTCCCATTCATTTCCTTCATAGTCCGTTCACAATTTATATTTATTATTTGCTTGTTTACTCTGTGTTCCGCCCTCCTCCCCGACCCACTGTATTGTAAGTTATATGACGCTAGGGATGGAGTTGGATTTGCTCACCACTGTAACCAGTACAAATGTCTGACATAGAACAGGTGATCAGAAAATGAGAACTGAACAAATAAAGAGCTAAAGCACATTCTTTAAAGCAGAAAGACAAGAGTATATCTTTATATTTACATGTATAGTACACACACACAGTCCTGAATCGTTCTGAGTGTTCTATATAGCTAAATTCTTCAGAGCTCATCTGGTTGCAGGAGGCATACCTCCTTTTATATCCTTGACTAAAGAATAGTCCTCCTCCAACTGAGAAGGTGGTATTTTCAGGGCCGAATCAGCCCTGAAGAGTCAATAGCCAGTTGCCCTCACATCTAAGGTTATCCGTCTTACTCCCCTCGGCTATATTATTGTCTCTAAAGGCAGAGGCTCCACACAACTAGTATATTTCTATGTGCCCAATGAATGAATTAAAGATAATCTAAAAACTTTTAATGAATATGCCTATAACATTAATAACAATGGGGAAAGTTTCTCAGTAACCTTTGAAGTGTATGACTTTTTCCGTTTTGAGCCTGCTTTTTCATTCTTTCTTTTGCCTTTTCCATCTTCTTCTACTCTATCACCTTCTTCCTCACTGCTTGCATCTGCAGTATTTCCACCTTCTCCCTCAGTTTCTGAAGAGCTCTGTTGCTGAATTGCCTAAGAAATAATAAAATATTAGCTAATTACATTTTTGAAAAAATAGCAAAGAACATAGACTGTGACAAGAATCATTCTATTCTAATTTGAAAGGGTTCAGCTTACTCTTAAGATTTTCAAAATAAGGGCTGTCAACCTCAATTTTCCAGTGACCACTTTACTTGAACCCTCTTGGGTAATAGAATTACATTTACTCCAAAATGCTATTGGACCCAAAAACAATCCTGACTTCAAATGGATGGAGGGTAACTATTAGTAGAAAGGATGTATAAGAAAGATCCAAAAAAAGAGTTAAAACCAAAGAAATGAGATATAGCAAGTGACAATGAAGTAAACCATTACCTGGTATCCAGTAAACTTTACTCCCGGGTTATTTTCTATTTCCCATAATCCTTCATTAAATCCTTTCCGTTTATTTGACTTTCCAAACTTGTCTTTGTATTCCTTATAGGGAAAAAGGTCTTTGGGACCTAGAAATGCACTGCAGAGATACATTAGAAATAGAATTGATACTCTGATCTTCAAATGTAAGATATTTTTAATATCAATATCAACTAAAGTGTCAGAGAATATTTTAGTAAAAAAATTAAAAGTATAAACCCACCTACCACAAGATGTTTTACATATATACTTCAAGGCAGAAAAAATGGTTAGCTGGTTATATAAGCCAGCAACCCTACATTGTGCTACTTTGATTTAATTTTAAATTACAATTTTTTTTTGTTTTGAAATTGATTTTTAGTTATACAAGTAGTTTTAAAGATGTCTACTTTGACCACTTAAATCATCTTAAACTAAGACTTATCTATGCTAATCTTCTATAGGTGAAGCTTTTGTGAGATTTACAGTAAAAATAGAAACACTAGATTACAAAAATGATTTTAACTCCATATACCAAATTAGTATATTTACTCACTATTATTTCCATAAATTAAAAAATTATATTAGTGTTTAATGAGGCACTAAGCAATAAAAAAATTAGAAGTGGCAAACTAGATAGAATCTTATCCAATTTAAACCTTATCCTAAATTAATCAAAACCACGAAAAGAAAATAAGTTAGAATAAATCCTGGGGCTCACTAATAGATTCAAGCATTCAAACCAGAGTTTTCAGCATTATTATCTATGCTGTTAACCTGGTGAATGAGATGGTGGAGGCCCACATCCCAGCTGATATCCATGAAGCTTACATTTCAAACTAAGATTCATTTATTCATTCATTCAACAAATTTGACTGATCATCTATAATGTCTCAGGCACTATTCTAGGTGCTGGGGATTCTGTAGGGAAGAGATGAACATCTCTATCCTCATGGAGTATACATTCTAGGGGGTAGGGGTTTGGACAATAAAAAAGATAAATAAATAAAATACATAGTATTTTTTGCTAGAAAAAATTAAATAAATAAAGCAGAGAAAGGGGATGGCAAGGACTTGGGGTGGATTTTACAATTTTAGATATACAGATCAAGGAAGGCCTCACTGAAGAGGGAATATCTAAGAATTAGAGGAGGTGAAGGAACAACCCATGCACTTCCTTGCGGAAGAGTAGAGCAAACTGAAGGAAGAACAAGTACAAAAAGGCCCTTAGCTGGGAGAATGCCTAGTGTGTTTAAGAAATGAAGAGGCCAGTGTGGCTAGAGCGGAATGAGTGGAGGAAAAGCAGTATGAGAAGAGGTCAGAGAGGTAACAGGGTGGGGGCACAGATTATGCAGGGCGTTGGAGGCCACTATAAAAGCTTTGAGTCAGATGGGAAATCATGAAAGGTTTTGAGAAGTGACAATTTATGTTTCAATGGGATCCTTTGGCTGCTGTGCTGAAAAGAGACTGAAGAAGAGGGTACCAGGGTAGAAGCAGAGAGACTAATTAGGCTATTGAAGTAATGACAGTGATGTGGACAGGGTGTAAGTAGTGCCGTTGGTGAGAAGTGGTTGGATTCTGAATTCATTCTCAAGAAAGAGCCAAGATGATTTGTTGATGGGCTGGATATGGCATGTGAGAAAAAGGGTGGAGTTAAGGATATCTCCGAAGTTTTAGACTTAGAAATTAGAAGAATGGAATTGATACTGAAATGGAAAGATTTTTGAGAGAACAAGGTTTGAGGATGAAAAGCTCAGTTTTGGATGTTAAGTTTGAAATCCTGGTCAGATATCCAAATGAAGATGTCAAGTAGGCAGCTGGAGAGGTGATTCTGGAATTCAGGGGAAAGGTCTGAGCTGGAGATATATATTTGGAAATTATCAGCAGAGATGATATTGAAAGCTTTGAGACTATAGGTTAATAGTTTACTGTTGATCTTTGTAAATTCCATTTCTGACTAGGTCTTAGTACTGATCCTTCACATTGCCTAGCTGATCAAAAACTTCAAATTGATAAAAACACCTGAGGAAGCTTTCTGACCCACCCCCATCACCAAACCTTCCTTGATTGTTCACCTTTAATTGGTCAGTCAGTATGATTCCATCTCAGTGAATCCAGACATAGTTTATTAGGTTACTAGACATTTTAATCAAAAGCATGTCAGCGTCTTGCTCAACAAACTGAACATGAGAAATAAATGGACTTTGGGTATCGTGATTTTACTTTTAGAGAAATTTGTCATGAATTATTATTAGACTGTGGCTTTTGACCTTTTTCCAGACTTTGACTCTATGTATAGGAATTAACTGTGGGCTAAGCTGCCCGAGGTTCACATCACAGCTATTGATGATAACCAGAGCTTGCCTGTACTTTAATCATGCCACAGGCGGCAGGGTTAATGGTTCAATTGGCCATGCTAACTGTTGCCAGAAAGAGGCACTCTGAAGGAACTATTTTAAAACAAGTTCTTACTTTTGATAGACAACCTTGTTTTTCCCTGGATTATAGATAATTCCACAAATCAAATGCCCTCTCAGTTGGTTAAGTTTGCTGCATGTTTTACAAATCTTATTAAAAGGTAGGCCAGAAAATAAAATTGTTCAAAATTACATGCTCTAAGGACGATGGTTTTATTTTTCCTGGCCAAGGCTGCCTTGAAAATTGTCCAGACTAAAACTACTGGGGTTAGTAATTAACTAAGGTTAAGTTATATGGAGCAGAAGAACTTGGGGCTCCATTCACCTATCTGTCTAGGCATTAGAACAGATTCAAAGCCATGTTCTGAGGAAAATTCTAGTCCTGCCTAAGGGTGCTCCTTTGGCTGACCTGCACACAGCTTTCTTGTTAAATTCCTCACCTTTCACATGGTTTTTCCCCCTTTCATTTATTTCATTTAATTAATTTTAATTCATTCAATAGCTGTTTTTTTTAAACACCTACCATGGGCCTGGCACTGTGCTAAGCAACATCCACATGACTCTGCCTTCACGAAGAGGTTGAACATTAGGTACTTGCCAGGGCATATAATCTCAGGTTCAAGGACACCCAGTATCAAGTAAATATTCAGCTGAAACAATGTTATGGCAGGGTTTTTGAAGTTCATTCACCTCTAGATGTTTTAAAATCTACCTCTAGATGATCAAACCAGCAAAAAACTCACATATGGACTGTACTATGCTGCTCTTTGGTAGAACTTCTTTTACTGAATGGAGCCTTGGAATGATGCCATTGACTTATATTAAGGATGCTATAAGAAACAGCTCTGTAAAATCCTTCACAACGTTCACTAGAATGATCTGTTACATTCACCAGCAATACACCAGGTGGCAAGCTCTTTAATGGCATCTCTTTATTTCCAATGCCTTAAAGAATGCCAAAAAATGTTTACTAAGTGAATGAAAGTAACCATATAATGTTAGTAAACAATTGATTGGGTGTATATAGTGGAAATGTGATAATCCTGTTTATTAAATTCTGCCTTGTCCCAGAAATACAACCAGATCACTTGGAAACAGGTCCTAAAAAAAAGCAAAATAATGGCATAGAAATAAAATGGAGGCAGGAACGAGGCAAATACAAAAATATGTATCACAAAGCCCTATGCATTTATTAAAGGTAAAACATTTATTCCTAAGCTTTCTAGCAACCTCTGTAAGGAGGAAAAACATGGTAAGTTGCATAGTCCACAGTGTCTATTAGATTAAAAAAAAAAAAGAAAATAAAACTAACTTCCTAAGAGAAACACAACTATTTTTCATAGGAAGACAAGAAAGAAATATGTCTTAAGGGCCCTCTCCTGGCTAGCTCTCTTTCAAGATGAGAATGAGGAAGATGTCAATGGCAGAGACAGCAGGCTAAGAAAAAGTTCATGCCTGGCTCTACTAACATTCAAATGAACATAAGGAGTGACTCTGAATTTGAAGACCTATAAGATTTTGTGATAGTTTTTAGCTTTTCCCCACATATGCAATTCCTATGCCATTTGTGTACCTGTCGTAATTAACCATATACATTCTTAAGTGTGTCACCATTGCCAGCTGTCCCCTAGTATCCATTATCTTCTTCTTTCTTTTATTAATGGATTACTCCTTCCAGTTTTTCCTCCCATTAGAGTTGCCCAGCTAGAGACTATGTTTCACAGCTTCCCTTACAGCTGGATGTGGCCACATGACCAAGTTTTTGCCACTGGAAAGAATGCAAGTGGCAGTGATGTATGCAACTTCCTTGTCATTTCCTTACAGGGAAGTTACTTGTTCTTCACCTCTTCTCTTTCCCCCTTTCTCTCCACCTGAAAGATGCACAGGTGTTGCTAAGCCAGTTTTTGTTTGTTTGTTTTTTTTTTTTTTTGGTGAGGAAGATCAGCCCTGAGCTAACATCCATGCTAATCCTCCTCATTTTTTGCTGAGGAAGACCGGCTCTGAGCTAACATCTATTGCCAATCCTCCTCCTTTTTTCTCCCCAAAGCCCCAGTAGCCAGTTGTATGTCATAGTTGCACATCCTTCTAGTTGTTGTATGTGACACGCGGCCTCAGCATGGCCAGAGAAGCGGTGCATCGGTGCACGCCAGGGATCCGAACCCGGGCCGCCAACAGCGGAGTGCGCGCCCTTAACCGCTAAGCCACGGGGCCGGCCCGCTTTTGTTTTTTTTTAAATAAGCAGACAAGGGCAACACTCCAGGGAATGGCAGGACAACATGAAGAAGGAACCTGGGTCCCTAGAGCAGAGTAGTCTACCCACCTTCACCTATCTGCCTATCTCTAGATTGTTTCAAAAGGAAGAGAGAAACTTCTATATTATTTGAGATGCTGTATTTTCAGATTCCTTTATTCAACAGTTTAGCCTGTACTCTAACCAACACAACTAGAAAACCTTAAAAAGGTTATATGTTTGCTTCAGGGTCCAACAAATTGAAAGAGCCTAAGAGTATATAACTTTGTTCTGTGAAATATGAATGGAAGAAATTTCCCTAAGGGAAATATATAAGAGCTACAAAAGAAATTACTGGGAGTGGTAAGGGGATCACCCCAGGACTTAAAAGTGTCCTAAAGGAGACTTCTGGGTGATGCCCAACATTTAAACAGAACCAGAAATGACATTCAAAGGCAAAATGAATGAAAAATCTTTACACTAAGAAAAATACATTATTGAGCTTGGTAATTTTATATAATTGATTATGATGATTTTTAAAAGCATATCCATAGATCATCTATAAACAATGTAGTCTAGCAGAGTCAAATTAGAGCTGTTGAAACTTCAAGTTGTTTTGTTGACTTACGTTTCATGGGTGCCAAAAAAGAAGATAGGATACTTGTTTGCTGGAGGCTTCACAGCTCCCTCTGGAAGTTCATCAATCTATTAAGGATAAATTTAGTTATTAAATATTGAGTTAAATCATGTAAAATAGCATAACATGATATAACCATTGTTCTGATAATTTATTGCTAATTTCAAAATAAAATTACTTTAATCAAAATCCCAGTAGTTTTTCTTTTCTTGAACCTTACAAAATGATTCTTAAGGTCATATTTGGCCCATGACATGGAGAGTAACACTGTAAATTGGTTATAACCATATGGTAATACATAATCAGGAGCCAAAACGACTCATTTCCTTCAACTGAATAGAATTACTCCTAGGAATCTGTTCTAGTGAAATAATTAAAAAGAATAACAAAAAAAGAAACAAAAAGATGCACTTTTTGGGGATAATAGTGAATTTTACACACACACACACACACACACACACACACCCAGAAACATAAGTGTTGCAAGACAGAAGAATTACGGAAAATTAACTCGATGAAATATTATGTAGTCATTAAAAGATATCTCTTGCTTAGACTACTGCAAGCCTCTCTCCCCGCCCAGTTAAGCTAGAATTACCTTTTAAAATGCGCATTTGTTTATTTCACTTCCCTGCTTCAAATCCTACAGCTTCTCACTGCTTACAGCATTCCTAGCTATGCCTCTGAAACCTCCGGAGCTTTTTAAAAATAAAGATACTTCAGCCGGTCCCCAGACCTACCAATTCTTACATACAGCTGAGGTTGAGAACCTCTAATAGGATAAAGTCCAAATCCTCAGAATGTTATACAGTTACTTATACATTACTCCCCAGAATGTTTCAAGATATGGTCCTTGACTCCCAAATCTCCACCTGTAGTCTCAACCTTTCCTTTGAACTCTGGGCATTAAATCACAAACGTCTACAAATGATTTCCATTTACAGGTCCTACAAGCAGCTTAAACTAAAGAAAAGTTTACAAATACGATAAGAGGCAGACTTGTAGTTTAGAGAGCCAGAAAAAAAGGTCTGGTATCCAGTCTCTTGAAATATGCAGGCCTTCTTAACAAACATATGGCAACAGCCTGAAGGTTACTACACCATCACAAGTTCATCTCTGAACTGAACCAATTCGTGTATCACAGAGCAGAGGCTCTGGTGTACTGAGAAAAGATGGCCTTTGAACCTAGAAACTTGTAGTTAAGTCCTGCTTCTGATTTAAATTGTGATATCGAAGGTATCACTTAATTTAATCTCTTGAGACCTTGACTTTCACATGTATAAAATGAGATGGTTGCACTAGGCAACCTTTAGGTTTCCTTTAGTCCTGAAATTTCATAGCTTGTCTAAAACTGAACCAATTTTCTGTGAATTTGTTGTTTCCTATTTTAATTATTGGTATACTGTTACCAAGAAAGAAACGTTAATCTTTTTATTATTTCCTCAAGCTCCATATTCAATTTTTCACCAAATTCTGCCAATTCAGTTCCTGAAATGTCTCTCAAATTGATCACCATTCCCATTACTATATTCGGTTCCCTTATTCAAGTTCTTATGATCTTCTGACAAGGCCATTATAGCAGCCTTTCAAAATATCTCCTTGTCTCCAGGCTTTCCTGTTACCTACTATACGGATTTCTGTGAAAACCTTGTATGGGGCCGGCCCCGTGGCTTAGTGGTTAAGTGCGCATGCTCCACTACCAGCGGCCTGGGTTCGGATCCTGGGCGCGCAACGATGCACCACTTGTCGGGCCATGCTGAGGTGGCGTCTCACACACAGCAACTAGCAGGATGTGCAACTATGACATACAACTGTCTACTGGGGCTTTGGGGAGAAAAAGGGAAAAAAATAAAGGAGGAGGATTAGCAATAGATGTTAGCTCAGGGCCGGTCTTCCTCAGCAAAAAGAGGAGGATTGTCAGAGATGTTAGCCCAGGGCTGATCTTCCTCACAAAAAAAAACCAAAATAAAACCTTGTATGTATTACATTCAATACTATACCACAAAGACAATTTAAAACAAATAATTCCATTTTGAATAAACTCAATATATATTCAATTATATATATATATAATTGTGGTAAAAAAATATAAAAATTAACTATTTTGAATGTACAGTTTAGTGTTAAGAATATTCATACTGTTGTGAAACAGATGTCCAGAAAATGAATATATTTTAAATCAACAAAAAACAGAACTTAAAATGCAAATGAATAAGTTTATGTATGTGGTAGACACTAAATTACTAGTTGACAAAACACCATCACGTTTTTTTTCACTCGTGAGAAAACTGAAAGTGAACATTTAAAAAAATCTTTTAAAACTTTTCTTTCAAACAAAAACACAACTTTTGGTTAAACTCTTCCTTCGCTATAATGTTATATAACTACTACCTACTGCAAAAGTTGGAAAGTGATGGCCCTTGGGCCATTTCTGGCCTGAAGACATGTGTTGTTTGGCTCATACAGTGTTTTTTAAAAACTGAATTAGTTAGCAATGCTTTAAAACTGGAAGACTTACATTAAAATCCAGATTAATAGCTTCTCTGAAAAAAATATTGAAGATAGGGATAAGCAACACTAAGCTTATATTCCCACAAGGCAACAATTAGCTGAAGATGATCAACAGTTGCCACCTTTAGATAAGGTATGAGCTCTCAAGTTCCTTACACTCCCCACTACTCTCCAGATAATGTTGTAAATGCCCGCTTTCCTTATTTACATTGCTTGCCTGGCCCCTCTGAGTGTTTGAGTTCATGCTCCCTGTAATAGATATTGTCAAAGAGAGTAACTGGCCTTATCATCATGCTGGTTCCCTCATAAAGGTGTTAAATAATGTGTTGACATGCACTCATTATATTTTATTGAGAGTCCTATTTTTAACTTTTTTGAAAATTATACTTTGACAATTTTGGAATTATACTAAGTTGTTCAAGTGGACACACCTTCCTGAACCAATTAAAGAGTGCACCTCTCAGGAACTGGGTTTTTTTTTGGCTCCTAGAGTGAATACCAGTGGCAACAGAACTTGATCTTCAGAGTTTTTGTTTTTCTACTGTTTCTGTTTTCCTGACTTTGTATTTTTACTTTTGTTTCTGGTTCTTGGCTATGTTTGGTTATGATTCTGGTTTGCACATAGCCAGTGTTATTCCTCATAACAGGATGATGAAGACCTACTGTTTTTTGGGTGTGACATGGAAAAGAATCTGGCACATTAGTCTTTTGGTTTGTAGAAGACTATGTCTTGCTTCTACTGGAAAGAAGAAAAGCCCTTTGAGATCCAGATCAGTGAGGGCATTTTGTGTTTCCTTTAACCTGTAGCTAAAGTTTTAGACCTGAAGCTACAAGCTCTCTGTGTGTCTATACTTGAGAGAGACTTTACCCCTCCTTGTGTGAGTTTGAAACATTGTCCTATTTCTGGAAAGGGTATTAAAAAATTAGATATAAACTTCTTAAAAGAGCTCTGTTTTTATTGGTTTATACATACTAATAAGACTTACAAAAATCTTATCTAAAGAAACAAAAGAACCTCAGGAAATAAAAAAGTGACTATAGAACACTTTAAATATAGTGTCCTTGTTGTTATTGTTCTTTGTCTTCTCTGTTCACTGCAAAGACACAGAGGGGATAAACTGAGGCTCTACCCCTAGGCGTCTACAACTCTACAGCACCATGGTCTTGGGGCCTGGAGGGAAGCACCCTCATGTTTCCTAGAAAACTTGTCCTTCGAGTTTCATCCCTGGACCTTCACCATCAGTGTCACCTGGGAACTCATCAAAAATGCCAGTTCTCAGTCCAGAATACAGACCAACTGACTCACTTTGGGGGTTAAGCCCCCAAATCAGTGTTTTAAGAAGTCTCCAGCTGATTTTGATATTCATTATAAGACATTTCATCCTCTTGCTGTGGTTCCTGTTGATAGCTTGTCTTTGTTTCTTGTGATTAACCTAAGTCTCCCTAAATCTGCAGGATTTTTGCACTGAGATTGCAAAAATACATCACTGCACATTTGTTTTCCTAATATTTAAAAAAAAATGTATAAAATGTCAAAATTTCTATTTTTATTAAAGGAGTACTATACCATATTAAATATGGTGGCCTTTTAAGAAAAACCCTTGTCAAGGAAACTGTTAGCTCAGACGCATTTTTTTAAATTGAAGTAACATTGCTTTCTAACATTATATAAATTTCAGGTATACATCATTATATATTGATTTCTGTGTAGATCACCTTATGTTCACCACCTAAAGACTAATTACCATCCATCACCATACACATGTGCCCTGTCACCCCTCTCACTCTCCTCTTCCACCCCCCCTTCCCCTCTGGTAACCACCAATCTAATCTCTGTATCTACGAGTTACTTTCTTGTTGTTGTTTTTATATTCTATTTATGCATGAGATCATACAGTATTTGACTTTCTCTGTCTGACTTATTTGACTTCGCATAATACCCTCAAGGTCCATCCATGTGGTCGCAAATGGCAAGATTTCATCTTTTTTTTTATAGCTGAGTAGTATTCCATTGTGTGTGTGTGTGTGTGTGTGTGTGTGTGTGTGTATCACATCTTTATCCATTCATCCCTTGATGGGCATTTAGGTTGTTTCCAAGTCTTGGCTATTGTGAATAATGCTGCAACGAATATAGGGGTGCACATATCTTGATGCATTCATGTTTTCGTGTTCTTTGGATAAATACTCAGTAGTGGAATAGCTGGGTCATATGGTATTTCGATTTTCAATTTTTTAAGAAATCTCCATACTGTTTTCCATAATGGCTGTAATAGTTTGCATTCCCACCAACAGTGTATGAAGGTTCCCTTTTCTCCACATCCCCTCCAACATTCGTTACTTTTTGTCCTGGTAATTATAGCCAATCTAATAGGTGTAAGGTGATATCTCATTGTAGTTTTGATTTGCATTTCCCTGATGATTAGTGACGCTGAACAGCTTTTCATGCACCTGTTGGCCATCTGTATATCTTCTCTGGAAAAACGTCTGTCCATATCCTCTGCCCATTTTTTGATTGGGTTGTTTTTTGTTGTGGTTGAGTTGTATGAGTTCTTTATAT